TTTTCTGAAAAATGCAGCTTGGAGCTAAGACATCATTACAGACAACCTCTAGTGGCCCTCAAAAGATTCATTCATTAAAGATAGCAGAAGTACTTGATTGAATCTGTAATGTCATCCATGATATGACCATCCCCACTTGGCTTGGCTCTGTCCTCAAAGATTTTGGTGAGGCATCTGCTGGAACAATTAATGCTGATGAGTGGCAATTCCTTATCATGATCTATCTTTCCATTGTCCTCATGAGCTTGCAGGAAGCTGGTACATCACATTCTTCTGACAAACTTGATGTTTGCCTCAAAATCATCCTCAATCACACTATGGAATTGGTTAATACAGTGTATCTTGCTTGTGCATAAACAATAATACCAAGAAAGACTCAAGCCTATTACTTGCATATTGCTGCTTATACCAGAAAGTTGCAGAAAATTCACCATGCATTCTTCCATATATATAATTGTCTGCTCCTATTTAGGCCTGCTCACTCATGGTAGTCTTTTCCTTTCAAATGTTTAATTGGAATTATACAACACATTCCTATCAATCACAGATTTGGTACATCCTTTCAAAGCACAAACAAGAAAGTTAGACTTAATTCTGTTAGGGGAGCTTGAAAATACAATGCTTCTTTCCTATATCAAAGCTGCAAGACTTCACCATTGGCTCACCTGACCAGACTGTCTGCCTGCTATTCAAGAGTGTGGGGTCCTGTTTGATTGAGGATTCAATAAGAGTGCTACAAGTTCTATCCATAAGCTTGCCAAAGATCTCATGAATGATATCATCAATGTTGCCGACTGTGCAGCAACTAGTGTGGTGCCTGAAGACCTATACACCCTCATCAGTCAACAATAGTGATGTGCACAGCCAGGCTTGAAGCCCTGGGCCAGCCCAAGCCAGACTCAAATAGGCTAGTGTAGAGACTGACATCTCTATAACCTTATAGAGGTCTATTTTCCAATACATGTAGACATGCTAATCATTACTCAAATCATTCCTATCATATCCGACTCAATATGTACCAAATCCAAAAACATCAGACATCAGACATCAGACATCAGACATTGCATCGGGTTTTGAATTGGACCATCAGATATCGCACACACTCGTCCTACCTATGTCGAGTCTCATTGTGCTAGCCTCACTAGATGCATAGTTACTTGTTTTCACATCCCTAATGTTTCGGACCACGTTATTACATGTATTCCCATAGTCCACAGTACATCATGTCTTATTACATAGGACATTGGATCTGAAATATTGTGCTACTACTTTTGCCTACAGGGTTCTGGATTTCTATGTATCTACATAAATATTGGACTCCCCATAGCATCATCATCATCTGAGTAGAGGAGAGTCGTTCTCTGATGCTTAGGGGTCAAACCTGATATTTCATAGTTCTTAGTTGATATTGCGAATATCATCATTCCTTCACCGTCTGTATCCTTCATGGTTATTATTGTGCACACCACTCGCTTTTCCGATGCTCACTATTGCATCACTATTAGTTTCCAATAACCTGATGTAGAAGAGGAATTGGTAGTGTGGATATATGGGTGGTATGAGATATACTCAAGTAGTCCTCGATGAGCGAGATGTGTGTCAACCCAAGGGGATTGCTACTGAGAAGGTTCCTCTAAGTTTATATGTGGAGGGAAACACTGGACCGGGTGCTTGGTCAAGCCTGGTAAGGTGCGTGATGATGAGCAAAGCACAAGCGAGCAAAAGTGATGCAAAGTGCTAATGAGCGACGATGGGTGACGACGAGCAACTATAATGGTAATGCATGCATGCGGGTGGTGGAGCAGAGCAACTCTTAATGAGTTGGGAAACAATTTGACAGAGTTTCTGGTAATGTACGGTGGCAGGCCCTTGTATTGTACTTAGATACTTATTGTTGGTTTGTAGGTACGAGGGAGAACTAGACTTAGAGTCCAATGATGTGCAGGCAAAAAGATAGTCCTTATACAGTTTAGGCACGAGTATATATACTAGTAATGTTAAGTGCTGTCAAGCGCTAAAGCGAACCGAGAAGTGAAGTGGATATGAGATAATATGTAATATAAGGGTTCATGACAAAACATACGGAATATAACCATAAGCGCCGGAGATATGTCAGAATAAATGGAAATATGATGGGAATATGCACCGATGAACTGAACGGACATGGAATGGATGGACGGAGGACGAGCAATGGAACCAAGGATGCACGAGCAGCCGATGAAGTGCTTGAGTGCACTGGGTGAGATATGAGTCACACTATATTAGGAAGTGATTGGGACATTGGGAATCTAGATCCCTGCAAGCCCACAGAGATATTAGTCTCTACACCAAACCCAAACCCAAAAACATCAAACCTGACACTTTTGCATCAGACATCATAATTATACCTTCGGACATTGTTTCCCGTGCTCAGACTATTGACCCCACATTACTCACTGACCCCAAAAACTATTCCCAGACCACAGACCCCTGGGTCAAATGCACTTGTCTCACCAAGTATAGCAGACTAGGCAGTGCAAGACCACAACATAAGATATTAGTTTGGAGCCATCTTTGTATAGCCCCACTCTGTGTTGTATTCCTACACTGGGCCCAGCCCAGGCCTAAGTCACAGCCTAAGGAAGGCTTGGGCCTGGGCTTGAGTTTCGAAAAGCTCGAGCTGGCAGCCTAAGCTGTGGCTTTGGCATGTTCAGTGGCACTGCCATAGAAGCCTCACCAGAGGTATGTTTCCCGACTCTATTTTTGTCTTTTCAACCTTCTGACTTCCATTACTCTTATCAGCTTCAATGGTCCATATGTCACAGTGAGTTGCCATGTCTTATTTGTGCTTCGGCTGGTCGACATTATTCACATCGCAGTCAAAAAGCCTGCTCTGTCCAACATATCCAGCAATTTATCCTCCTTTGAGGCCTTATCTCTTGTGTGTTGCTACACAAAAGCCATGGTGAGCTGCCAGCACTATGTCTTGTGCTTCATGAGCTCAACATAACTCACTCTGCTGTCAGAAAACTAGATCTCAACTGTGCAAGCCAATATTTTGGTAATTTTGAAGCTGTCATATCCCATATTCTGGACCTACATCTGACAATATTCCCATGCCTCATCTGGACCTTCAGATGCCCTATCCATGTCTCTAGTCCTCTACCCATCCAGATCCCTGCACCTCTGCACCTCCACATCTGCACATCCAGATCCAGATCCCTTTACCTTTGTACATCAGACCTCCATACCTCTGCAGCTATCCCACATTCCGGACCAACATCCGATGATGTTCCCACGCCTCATCTGGACATCCGGACCTCCTGTCCATGTCTCCAGACCCAATCCTCTATCTGTCCGGATCCCTGTACTCCTGCATCTGATATCCATATCTCCGGGTCTCTGGATCCGACCTATGCTTCATATCTGAACCCAAACCTTAAATCAGTGCTTATCCCCTTATGGTATTCACTTGTCTCCGGACTTCTGAATATCCAGATCTGACCCGTGTCTATCTTCCATGCCTTTCCCCTTTGTAGGTTCCTTCTCCAGTTAGACTATACTCATTTTCCGTACCTCATTTCATTTCCGGCTTTATTTTCCTATGTTCTCATCTCCGTCTTCATTTACTATTTTCTACATGCTCTGTCCACAGCCTCACATAGCTTTGGACTGTACTGACTGATTCTCTGTTAAGTCCTCAGTAGTATATAAACCCCTGTAGATACTCCTGTATTTCCTTAGTCTGATTATCATACATATAGTCCTCACACTAGATCCCACTCTAAGTCTTCACATCAGTTCTAGTCTTCCGACTTAGTTGATATCTATCTCAGGCCTAGGGAGAAATTCCCTAGGCCAGAGCTCCACTCCTCTGCTCCTTTGCTCCTCCAATCCTTCACTCCTCCACTCCTCCAATCCTCTCCTCATCCAATCCTCCATTCCTCTGAGTTTCCAGAACTTTCCCACGGTCCTCCGGACCTCTTCTGCTTTGGACTTTGTCCTTGCAGCCTTTTCTCTGTTTGCTTCTATTCAGGACTTGTCCTGAGTAGCCATTACACATCTCCATATCAGGACGAAACCCCATGGTAATTTCCAGAAGTTCCTCCAGAACTTTCCTGCACTCATCCAGAAGTTGCTTGCACTCGTTCAGAAAGTCCTTCTGAACTTTCCTGCACTCGTCCAGAAGTCCTTCGGACTTCCTTGGACTTTCTCCAGACATCATTCTGAAATTAAGGGCACATACTCAGATAAGGGGTGCAGCACATGAGCTGAAGCCAAGCCCCTTTGAATCAGTCCTACTCTTTTTGCACGGTCTTAACAGAAGCCTTATGTGCTTTACCTTCACAAGTGTGATTGTCCACCCAATATCTTTCAATTGATTTATGTTGGTACATGTCCCTCTAATGTCCCAACTACCTGCTACCTACCTATGACGAGCACAGAAACCAAGCACTGTGTTGCGCATCCTATACACAAAATCAAACCTACAGCTGCCCTTCTTCAACATGCTGAGAAGGCAGCACTGCCATCCCAAACCAAGATAATTCACACTTCCACGCTGCTGAACATACCTCCACTTCATCCCCCACTGAAATTGCGGAACCTCCATGCACCTCTCCCATACCATCAGCATCATCTGCTGTCGACCCCCGCAAAAGGGTGCATCCTGAAGACTCTTATGAAGACTCTGATGGAGAATCTGGCAATGACAAGCATGAAAATGCATGTACTAATCCCAAGCCTTGAAAGCAGTACAAATCAGCTGTTGTCCCAACTGAACCAGAATTGGTTGATGCTGACAGTATTCTAATTGACATTGACGTTCAATCTCTCATGGAACCAGTGTTGACATGAGAGGCCCAAACTGCTTACATTGACACTTTTTTGGTGCTACCTTTGATCATGCAGGGGCAAATGGAAAGGTGAAAAAGCACAGGAAGTACAAAACATGCCCGTAGGTCTGCTGATTTGTAGTTGTACTCACATGTTGATGCATGCTCAATAGGAAAGAATGTATTCTTGTTAACAAAATATCTACCCTCTGTCGTCACACCAAGGCAAAGTTCTCTGCCAAATATCGGAAATGGGCCAAAGAACATTCATTTGAGTTGATGCTTCCTGGCAATGTTAAGGCCTGCAAGGAAAATGCTGCACAGCAGAGTATTAATGTGCATCTAACTGAGCGGAAGCTTGCTGAACAAGTGGTTTCATATGCAGATAAGTTGTTCAAACAGGCTGCAATTGAGTGGCTCATGTCCACTGATCAGGTACTACATTTCTCTTATGATTGAATTGAATTAATGTCTATTTATCTAGCCAATTCAAGCACTTGAACATCCAAAGTTCAAAGAAATGATCAACATTGTGGCTCATGCAACCAACAGCATCAAAATTCCAGGCAGGAAGGCAACTCATGTGGAGATAATGAGAACCTTCAAAACTCATCTTATGGAGCTCAGGAGCAAACTTGATGTAAGTAAATTTTATGATATTGCTCAATCTACTCGACTAATGTGGACCTATGTATGTAGGGTGCCACTGTCAAGGGTGCCATCAATACTGATGGTTACTTTGCTGTCACGGGACACTGGATCAAAGAGAAGACTACTATGCAATGGGAACTCGAAAGTGCACTGCTCAGATTCACTCAAGTCAATAATGCCCACACAGGCAAGCATCTTGATGGTGCTTTGTTTAAAATCCTCAATCATGTTGGTGTCACACATAAGGTAAGTTAGGTTTACTGCAAGTATATTCATTAGTCTCATAAATCACACTAGCTCAGACACATCACTTGTGACAATGCCGTGAACAATGGCACCACCCTACAGAAATTTGCAAAGCTATACAAGGCCAAATACAATAAGGAGTTTCCTCAGTGCCAGTGGAAAATAAAGTATGTTCAATCATCACTTCTTACTTAACAAAATCACTCCCTGACAAATCTAATAGCTGCCTAGCCCACATTATCAACATTATAACACAGACCTTGATCAGCTCATATAGCAAATCCCCTCATTACAACCCCCATGACCTGAAAGCGCACAAGCTGTCCAATCGAGATGAAATTGGCCTCATTCGTAGCATTTGCATTAAGGAATGTTCCTCTATGAAGTGAAAGGAGCTGTACTGGAATGTTCAAACCAAGGGAGGCATGTCCCAGCTGATGCAACTGTTGATTGACATGAAGGTTCGGTGGTCCTCAACTTATATTATACTCAACTGTGCAGAGATGAATAAGGAACATGTTGACACATTTGTATATGAGATGGATTGTCAAGAGCATGATCTAGACACATGAATATTGACTTTTTGCAGCTGTCAAACATTGAATGGACACATGTTGGGCAGTTTGCCAATCTTCTCTCGGTACATTATTTTCTATTTATTTGAAGCTTGCTACTTATCTTGGTTTTTTAGTATACTGACATAGTCCAACAAGCTTTCTCATCTGAATGAGGTTTAACCTTACACCTTGCAATTCTGGCACTCGAAACTCTTCACAAGGCTTGGTCATCATGCACAGAAAGGTCGAGATATGCGAAGTTTGCTCCTGCGCTCGAAGATGCAGCTGCAAAAGTCGATGAGCATTATGAGAAGATGATACACTCCACTGCATATGTATTGGCAATGTGTATGTTGTTTATTTTTTTATGAATGACTGTGAGTCTGACATTTGCACTTCAGTACTCAACCCCACAGGGAAAATGTCATATTTCATGAAGCATTGGCTAGAGGATCTGCACAATGATGTTCTTTCTACTGCAGAGACAGTGGTGAGTCATCTTTTTTATTTTATCAACATGTACTACAACTAGTTCAAAGCCCATTATCTTCAGCTGAACCAAGTGACATCGTCGATGTTACAGCACACAACTAAGCCCAGCAGAACTGGCAGTCTCAAGAAGTTAATTTGCAAAGTCCTCAGTGACTCTAAGGATGATTCATCAGCCAACCCAGTGCCTACTTCAATTGGTGACCCAACAAGACCATGGTGTGCTGAAGTTTTGGCCTACCTTGAGACAGTTGAAGCAGCTCCACCATCTGGCATGTCTACCATTCAATGGTGAGGTGTACATATTTTTTTGCTACTCAAAAATTTGACGCTAACAATAATCTTACTTAAAATAAATGCGCAGAGGTACCCTATTTGGGCCTCACTTGCACAGGATTATCTGGCCATTATGTTATTGTCAGTCTCCAGTGAGAGGGTGTGCTTGCAAGGTGGCATCACCATCACCAAATGACGCAACTGGCTTAAGGTCGACATCATCAAAGCACTTCAGTGTCTTAAATGTGCACTACAACATGATCTCCTGTTCCAAGAGCCTGTGCCATCGTCTCTTGTTGAGTTGGAGCACCTGGACAATGATGAAGAAGAAGTGGAAGTAGAAGAGACTGGTGATGACAAAGAAATTTGGGACATTCTGCCTTTGGGTGATGATGCTGAGGACATGTCAGACACTGAGACAGACATTTACTAGATATATTGTAATTATGCTGCCTAATGCCACAGTGGTGTTGAGCTGTCTGTTGGCTGCGAAAAGCCATGGCCTGGTTGGGCTTAAGCCCTGGCTTTGGGCTGGCTTGAGCTCATGGCCTAGGCTCAGGAATCTTGTGAGCCTAAGCCGGTGTAGAGACTCATGCCTCTCATGGTATGATATGGCACTTTTCACTAGGGAGTTCATTGCACGAACTTGCAGCACCACTCAGTGTGCTATCCACAGCTATTCCTATATGAGGTGCAGCTTTCCTGCGCAACGCGTGCCATGTGCACACCATTCCTGTGCTTCGCGATATATATGCGTGCGTGCTTTTCCGCCCTATAGCACCAGCCATCCAGATGCATCCATCCACTGTCCACCAAGTTCTCTAGTGCATATATTTCCATTTCTGTTATTAGCATATCATTCCACCTTTATTTTTATCATGGACTCTCACTCATATATATCTTTACATACCTTACTCGGTAGCGCTTCGGCTCCGCATGACAGCGCTTAGGCCCTTACCACTTTGCACCTTACTTGACCTATCACTTTACCTACTACTTACTACCTAGAAAGTCGCAGTAGAAATCTATTCCTTTACACCTCACACTCTCATCTCTTATCTTGCATTATAACATCACTTAAGCTTAGTCTCTCTCATTTCCGCATACCTGCGCGCACTTTCCCGCACTTTGTGCATTCCCGCGCCTTTGTGCCTTGCGCGCACCTGCGCACTTTCTCACGCTGTAGGGATTCATTTCTGGTTGGGCTTGTAGAGACTGTTTTTACCTTACCTTATGTTGGCACTTTTGTAGCTTACATAATCAATGAACCTTTTCACCAGTTTTACTATGAGTCTGAGAGATCAGCAAGTTTTTATGATATTTCCTCTACTCTGAGCCTTGAGCCTGGTCCAGAAACCCTTTAGGGTCGAATAGCAGCTAGGTTCTGCAAGACCCAACACATTGTTCAGACTCACCATCTGAATTGTTGTACCTTCAGCGCGACCTACAACACTTATAGATACAGTCTGGAGCCCACCGCAAGAGGAACAGTCAGCAAGATCTAGTTCTGCGCATTTCACACATATAGGTCAATCTCTTTGCAATTTCAAAAGCTAATCATTTTCTAGTCATGCATTCTCGCGCCTTGCACGCGCACAATATTCCCACGCCTGTGCGCCTCATGCGCGCGCCTTTCATGCACTTCAAATTCCTTATAGAATGCCCATCTGCAGCACGGCAAACATGCCCAAGTTCAACGGCACTACAGAGAACCTCGCTGAATTCATTGACACATATGAGCAGCTCGCTGATGAAGCAGGACTCCAAGGACTCGACCGCATCAAAGGTATTATTTGCTACCTTGAATGCGATGACCAAGAACTATGGGGAGGCATGCCCAAAGCAGCAGTAAGCAATTATGATGCATTCATGGCAGAAGTAAAGGTAATGTATCCTGGATGGGATGGTAAAAGATGCTACGCGCTCGCAGACTTGCGTGCCATTGCGCACGAATATGCTAACAAACCAATGCCCTCTTGCACAGAACTAAGCAATTACTTGCGCGCATTCAGGAAGGTTATGCAGCCACTTATAGATGAAGATCATATTGGAAAGGCCGAATGCGACCGCTTATTTATGGAAGGAATCCCTAGCGATGCTCAGGCGCAAATTTGCTTGCGCCTTATGATCAAGTTCCCTGACCACCATCCATATGACCCATACCCATTTATGGATGTCTTCGCAGCTGCACAGTTCCTATTACCTGTGCGTGCTTTTCCCACGCCAGTTAGTGCACCCATGGTAGCGCCAATTGCAAACTTAGTCACAGCGACCACACCAGTACAAGCTAAAGTGGCTAAGTGCAAAGATCGCTACTATGTGAACCGTGCAACGCAGGATACGACCACTAGCGCTAGTGTGGCAGCTGGACTCTTCTATCGTGCACCCTCAGAAGTTGCACTTGACAAAAGGCCACCAGTTCCAATTCTTGTGCCTCACATGCACACTGTTCCCGCACCTTCATGCAATTTACGCGCACCTCAGCCATCAACTGCGCCAGCATGCAAAGCCATACCAGAATGCATCACTTTGGATCATGAACTCGAGCGCACGCTCGTGAAGCGCAACCAGAAGCGCACCGCAGGTGCCTCTTCACCTTCATTATCAGCACCATCTCCTTCACAATCTCTATCATCATCCGCATCATCATCACCAATCGCATCGCAAGTCAGGGATGACTCTAAACATCTATTGCACACTAACGCGCCATCACTCGAAACATGCGCGCCTACCGCTATCGAATCGCCAGAAGTCAGGGATGACTCTAAACATCTATTGCACACTAATGCGCCATCACTTGAAACATGCCCACCCCTCACTATCGCAACACTTAAGGAAGAAATCTCACCAAACGCACCATCACCATCGCCGCTCACATCATCAGAGGTCAGGGATGACTCTAAACATCTATTGCGCCTTAGCACGCCTATAGAGGAGCCTCCTACTGCATCAGAGACTCAAGTTACACCTTGCATCAACCAGAGTTTGCCTCTGGTAATTCCAAATGTCACTAATGATCACACACACATCGCGCTTTTTGCTTCTAGTGACTATTGTATGCCAGTAAAGTATCCGTGCATCACAGCGCCTAACCACCAAGCAGAGCATGTTTCAGGCGACCCTGGGGTAACTCAGGCGCACCATATTGCGCCTGAGGACGCCCAATGCGTGCGCCTAGAGGCATTGTATATTTATCCTCATCTCATTTCACACTTTTTGTCTTTTTCATGTTGGAAGCTCTTAAGGAGCTACATATATGATGATTCCAAACACTTTAAATTCATCTTCGCACTGCCCCTTGTTCATGCGCCATGGTTGCGCGCATCACGCGATAATTCCCGCGCCTCGTGCATTTATCATTTTGGCAGAGTTTTTGCACTATCGCATTTCTATTGCTTCTCCCCTTTTAAATCTCATTTCTTTCATTCAACACAAGGTATATTCCAATCAGCCATCCAGGCACGACTTAGGTGCACACCTGACACATACATATGCGCCTAACTCCCCTATCTTCATCTTCAACTTCACACTTCCCACATTTATTCACATTCTTCGTGCTTTTGCTTACCATGTCAATTTCATTCCTGCATGCCCTGATGTGCACTATTTGCAGAGAAATGGCCGTTCCTCGCATGTTCGGCCAATATAATCAAATTCGCGCAAAATCACCCCAAGGCGCGCACATCACGCGCATCCTATCAGCTTGTAGAGTGCCTCTACACCCCTTGCAGCGCCTCCCATTGGCGCGCCTTCAACCTGCAGTGCGCTGTGCAGGAATTCATTCTGCCGGTTACTAGCCCCCCCCCCCCCCAAGCATGCCAGCCTTGCACATTCCAACCTTACCTTGGGTAAAGCGTCAGCTCACAAGAGATGTGAAGCATGCTAGTTACACGCTCAAGTAGGAGGATCACGTGCTTCAGCAGTGCACCAAAGAGAAAGATATACCATTGCTGTCCATAGGATACCATTCATTTTACCCTGGGTTTCATCCAGTGCTCTTCCATTTTTATTTCTCTCATTATAACACTGTCCAAAGGACTAATAACTCACTGATATATATGCACATAGGAGTCACCTAAAAGAACATAGAAGAAAAACAACACAACAACCTTAGATTGTGCCCACCTAGCTCAATAGTATTATTTTCTCTTCACATGCATGACACAGCACCATGCCCTTTTTACCTTAGAACATGCACATATGTGCGCAGTCTTCCCACGCTCACACGCACATATGCGCAATCTTCCCACATACATACGCCTCGCACGCATGTGTGCGCGCTTCCTGTGCCTTGCTCATAGGAAGGTGTAGATGTCGACAGCCGCACAAAGAAGACAAGTCGGATAGGACATCCACAGAGTTTACTGTTTTTCTTTCGCATTTTCACATAAAGTTTTACTCACACTGTTCAAACCCTTAGCACCTAATATTTAGCATGCCTAGCAGGACTTGGTTTGGACATGGATTGGATCGCTCTTGGACCGTGCCACTTTGCATCACATGCACACACACATACTGGACTCCAAGAGCATTGCGCAACAGCTCATGGTGTCCCCACAGAATACAACACATGTGACACTCACGTGCTTTCTTGCGCCTTGTGCACGCGCACTTTCCCACGCTTCACACTGTACATGCGCATCTCGCTCACGCTTTGCATGCCACATCCATATCACCCTTACATCATCGCCTCACACCCATGGAACACTATTCACACCAGAGTCACCCTCGCAATTCACCATGCTATGCTGCATTCCCGTGCCTCAAGTGCATATGCGCGCGCACTTTCCCACACCTTCGCACCTTGCATGCACCTGCACTCGCCTGCGCTTCGCACATCGTGCAGTAATTCCTGCACTCACACATTCATTGCCCAATACCCCAAGCGTCATACATGCATCGCACTTGCACACTATCACTCAAGACCCTCACCACACATGCGCTGAGTGGGGACACTCAGAATTTAAAGTCCCTGGGAGATGTAGAGACTCATGCCTCTCATGGTGTGATATGGCACCTTTCACTAGGGAGTTCACAGCATGAACTTGCAGCACCACTCTGTGTGCTATCCACAGCTATTCCTATATGAGGTGCAGCTTTCCCGTGCAACACGCGCCATGCGCGCACCATTGCCACGCTTCGCGATGTATATGTGCACGCGCTTTCCCACGCATGAGCACCCTATAGCGCCAGCCATCCAGATGCATCCATCCACTGTCTACCAAGCTCTCTAGTGCATATATTTCCATTTCTCTTATTAGCATATTGTTCCACTTTTATTTTTATCATGGACTCTCACTCATATATATCTTTACATACCTTACTCAGTAGCACTTCGGCTCTGCATGACAGCGCTTAGGCACGCTATATAAGCGCCAGCAATACATACTACCTTACCACTTTGCACCTTACTTTACCTCTCACTTTACCTAGCACTTACTACCTAGAAAGTCGCAGTAGAACTCTATCTGTTTACACCTCGCACTCTCATCTCTTATCTTGCATTATAACATCACTTAAGCTTAGTCTCTCTCATTTCTGCATATCTGCGTGCACATTCCCGCGCTTCGCGCACATTCCCGCGCCTTTGTGCCTTGCGCGCACCTGCGCACTTTCTTGCACTTCGCTTTAGCGCATACTTCTAGATCTTTGCTGCACTTGCTTCCCCTTTAGGGTCAAATGCACTTATCTTCTCAAGTATAGCAGACTAGGCAACATGTGACCCTACAACATTTACAGATACAGTCAGGAGCCTCGTTCATGCCTCACTGTATTGTTGTTTCTACACTGGGCTGGAACATCACTAGTTGACAAACAGCAGTATTACACACTACACTCAAGTTTGACAGTGTGATCTATAGTAAGGCATCTACACACTTGGGCAACAGCCAGATTTTCTTCTACCCTCGTGGAGATCAGTTGTTAACCCCTGTTGCTGCCAGTATCAAATGCATTTATAATATGCTGACAGGAGAGTTATTGTTTGCTGTACAGCAACATATCCTGCTAGATCACCATACTGTCAATCCCTTCTCAATGTACTCTGATTTTCCAGTGAAATTGTACTCAATGAACTTTGAAACCCACCTTGAAAATGCCAAGGTGTCATGGGTCATTAGCCACTTTGCACAATGGAGGGTTTCTGACTGTCACGCTGTGATCCTATCCTTATTTCGCAACTGAAACTATCTAGCCAACACTACTATCAATATCTATAACTCTCCTGACTCAACTTGCATTCACCACATGCAAGCCCTGTGTAGCACGGCCTGGTAGAGATATGTTGACAATGAGTTCCCTTATGTAGACTACTATTTGTATACCATTTGTCAGCATTGCGTGTATAGGTGTGTATTTTCTGGATCAGCAAGGCTCGACACATGTGATCTATGCAAGGTCAACAAAGGTCGGTGGAGATATACTGACATCGTGCATGTACCTCATGGGCTACATCATATCTTTTCACTTAGGTTGAGGTGTTCTAGACTTTGCTATACCAATGCCAGATGAGGCAAACAATATTCCATTAATATTAAATGGTAGCTTCTTAATCAAAAGCAGACAATACAGCCTATTCCAAAGCCTTGTGCCTGCCCTCTTGTGCCCTGCTCAGCTACCGCCATCATCATGCGTCGTCCAGTGCCCATTCAGGGTCAGGCTCCCCCTCCAGCTGCTAACTTCAACCAACAAATGCTATCATCAGGACTGTCAGATATGAATCAGCCAGCAGGACTGACCATGGTACAACATCATCTGTCCTTGCTCACTCCCGAGGCATGGGTAGCCCTTTTCAGCCAGATGCAGAAGATTCTGCCTCCTCCCCCACCTCCTCTGCTAGCACCACTAGTGCCAGTAATCCAGCCAAATCTGGAACTTCTATCATTGATGCAAGACCTTGCTCGAAGGATGGAAGGAATCGAGAAGGATGTGTCGACAATTAAACATCAGAATGTCAATGAGGACCTTGCAACTGATGGAGATGTTGACACTGAAGAAGAAAATCAACCCTGTCCTCAACAGAAGCATGCAAAAAAGAAGAAATCCAAGGAACAAGCATATATCCCGAATGTGGCAAAGGTGAGGCTTACTGCAGCACAACTGACCACATGTTCAGTGCAAATAGTTGCCTCTGCTCTTCAATCTGCTGTCACTAAGACATATCAGGAATGTCTGCACAAGACCATTTACGATCTCACCGGACTCATTGCAAGTGAAATCGGTAGTGATGGAAGTGATGACACAATGTCCAATCCACCAAAGATGATGTTCGACTTCCAGGTGGGTGCATCCCATGAGGCGAACTCAGCAATTTTCTCCTAGGCTGCAGACATCGTCTGGAAAGAACAATCTGACAAGGAAACATGCTCACTTACTCACCAAATTGTGCATTATACCCGCAATGATCTTGTTGCCTTTGTGAAGTCAAAATTCCGGTCCTACAAGCGCAAATATATTGAGAAGACAGATGAAGGAAGGGCAGTGAAATGACAGAAGTTCAACATTGTGAACAAATGGCTCTGTCACCAGGAACATGTAAGAATTTATTTTGTCAGTGGTTGTGAGCTTATACAGACAATGGGGGTGAGAAGCAAGCAAGAAAGAAAGATATACAAAAGGCAGCTAACCTTTCGGAATGTGATGTCTATGCTGGTGTTCCTGTATGGGAAACCATCAGACCAGCATGGAGATCAGAAGAGGTTTGCTAGTAGCTGACATATTCTGAGTCTACAAGTGACTAACTGGTTCAATGCAGGTCCCAAAGATTTTTGAAGAGCTAGACTTGATCTGAGATGAGCAGCGCAAGGAATCCAAGCAAAAAACAGCACTCACCAGATGTGTTAACCTTAGCAACAACAACAACGCTCCACCGTCAATTCCAATTTTCCCGTTCATATTCAATTCTAAATGGCACGACTCTTACCAGGCTGGAACTCCTTATGCACCCATCAAGATGTATGAACAGGACCCTCGAGGCTTCAAAAAACGAGAAGGTCAGCATGATGAGGATCTCCCCCAAGGCAATAGTGAGAAGGCCAGCAAAAATGGCAGCACTGACAGCCACAGTGTGAATGGTGATGGCGATGGTGATGATGGTGATGATATCTTGGATGGTGATTTGTGATGATTGTTACTTCACAGGTTCATTTCTTGGTGCTTAAAGGTAGAAGTGAATGCATGCTGTTGTTCAGAGCAAAGATTACAAGGATGTACTAATTAAAAGACTTGGACTTCCTGTGCAACAACGTTAATTGACATCTATATGTGCGAGTGTTTAAGACCTACTTGACTAAGTCCGACAGTAGCCCACACATTGACTGACCTATCTTGATCATCCTTCATCTGTAATGTTAGATGACATGCCTGTGAGATGATGAGATCTGGGGGAATCAACTGAGGAGGTCAATAGTGGTGTAGAGACTCATGCCTCTCATGGTGTGATATGACACTTTTCGCTAGGGAGTTCATTGCACGAACTTGTAGCACCATTCTGTGTGCTATCTGCAGCTATCCCTATATGAGGCGCAGCTTTCCCGTGCAACGCGCACCATGCACGCACCATTCCCGCGCTTGAGCGCCCTATAGCGCCAGCCATCCAGAAGCATCCATCCACTGTCCACCAAGCTCCCTAGTGCGTATATTTCCATTTTCTTTATTAGCATAGTGTTCCACCTTTATTTTTATCATGGACTCTCACATATATATATTTTTACATACCTACTCGGTAGCGCTTCGGCTCCGCATGACTGCGCTTAGGCGCGCTATATAAGCGCCAGCAGTACATACTATTACTGAACTTACTTTACCTCCCATTTTACCTATTACTACTTACTTACTACTTAGCAGAACATAGTAGAAACCTATTCTTTTACATCTTGCGCTCTCACATCTCTTATCTTGTATCATATCATCACTTAAGCTTAGTTTTTATCATTATCCACATACGCGCGCGCGCGTGTTCCCACGCCTTGCGCGCACCTGCGCTTTCTTGCGCTTCACTTCTGCGCGTACCTCTAGATCTTCGCTGCACTCGCTTCCCCTATAGGGTTGAACGCACTTGCCATCTCAAGTATCGCAGACTAGGCAACGCACGACCTTACAACTTTTATAGATACAGTCTGGAGCTATCTTTGCTCCTCACAGTATTGTTGTTTCTACAGCAGGATCAAGAAACATCTTATGCTCCCAGAGAAAAACTTCGAGCTCAGGGCTATAAAATACATCCGTTAGTGAACTAATTCTACAAAAATGATACTTACTATTGAACCCAGTGGTGTAAATTTATGTCAAGTTTCCTGCGAAACCACTTGACATCTAGTAGAATGAATTCTCACTCAATTCCATGCTGGCTGTGTGAAATAATTGTGAATACTTGTCCCACATAACACGTGTCATTGAGGTCCACTTGAATGATAGAGTTTGAGGCTTTGACCAGCGAGGATGAAGAGGCAACACAACGACCATCGAGTATGATATAGTTGTGAAAATTTGCACGTGTAAGGAGGTAGTTTGGGTCCGGATTTTCTGTGCTTGCACAGGTCATAACACTGACAACATGAGCTTGTGGGTTGGTATTCTGGTAGTGAATGATGAGCTGGTGCTGCTGATCATGTGATAGTCCAGCTTTCATATGTGTGCCGAGGGAAAATTGGATGTTCACTGACTCAGAGTCAGTATATATATTTTGGAGGATCATTGGCTCACCATTGACACTTGACTGCTCTGTTTCAAGGGCAAGAGATGCTACCATACCTTGGATGTCACCATCTGTAGCCAACATGAGCTGAATGCAATCAACAACAAGTCTTGATCCATCATTCTCGGCTGCCAACTTCTCGGCTGCTAATATGTTACCAAGCTAGAGACACAATGTGAGCTCAATTCATTGACAATTTGAACAACACAAACCATTGTTTGAAGCTCTTGATCCTTCTTGAAAGTGCAGAAGAAGCTAACCTCAAATTCACCAGCACCATGATTATTTGTAGAGTAGCTCTTGAGTAGTTTGTTGAGCCTTTTGAAGAGGAATGTCCAGAATCCGTATACTGGCCCATAATCACGCAGTTGATTGAATATATGCATCACCCAATGGTGCATTGGCTTCACATCTTTTGGATGAATCTGCTTGCCTTTGTTAGCAAATAATTTCATGCTAAAATGACCAGTACCTTGATAAACTTAATCAGATATTCATGAAGGAGGTGTTTCGCTCATGGGATATTGGCATCCTTGACAGTTTAACCAAGGATGATTTTCAATGCAGCAGCAAGATTAAGAAAATTACTTCCGCTGTCCTCATGCATCTGCATGACTGATTTTTCACTCGCTTTTTCATCGCCCTTCTTTGCCTTACCAGTTGTGTTCCTTTTGATGCGATCAGCTTCGCATTTTTCCCAGTTTGCTAGGCTCATGTCATGTGCTTTTTTGTCCTTTGGATACCATTTGTCCCAAATAAGAGGGATCTGTTACCAAGTTTGCTTAGGTTATGAGCACAATGAACACCCGATTGACATACCACAATTGGCCCTAAAATGAGTGCAAGACACCTTTGAGAGATAAAGATGTATCTGGTCTAGTTCTTGTGATACCCTGCTGTTGCTGTGCGCTGACATAGAGTATTATTCTTGATCCAGGAGGTAAACCATTGACAGCGAATCATGCCTGTAAAGTGTTAGAACCAACATGACAGAGATATAATACAAACCTAAAAGAAAGCTATGCATGGGATCAATCACTGTCATTTGCACAGGGTCAAAATATGGTAGGCATGAGAGTTCAAACCATTGTGTGCTGTGTTTTTTGAAGAACCCGTCACGTTGATCTGTCGGAAGATCTCGGTATTCTCGTGCACAATGTATATGCTCTTGACCATCTCTCACAGGAAACTCTGCAATTGAAGAGTGAGTCGTCACAGTACAACACAACGAAGGCTTACTATCATAATGCATTGCATCCTCTGTCGCTAGCTTGCTTTTAGGTATATGACATCAAGTACAGAACCCTTCCTCCTTGGAGTGGTTCCCAAACCCACAGACTTTACACATCGCAGGATGGTCACAACAAATAGCAACCAAGATCACCTGAATTTGTCAACCATCGGGATGCTTGGGTGTCTTGATGAATATACCATTATCATACGATGCGAGAAGGTCATCAACATAATTCTTCATAAAGTATTGGAGCTGGTTGCTGTTGAATTCTTTGGGTCCAGGAGTGATGCCAAATAACAATAGATTCCGTGGGCAATACCTTAGAGAATTGGTGATTAGTAGATTTTAGATTGTATGATATACTGTAAATGTGTTGGCAGGTTCACAATACAGCTCAACATGACCCCGGAGCTGTGGGAGCTAGATGCAGCACTTCGTTCATAGCTATACCTGTGCAAAATGTAAGGGACAATCCTGGATGAGGATTTGAGCATACCCATCAAAACCAAGGGTAATCCCAATCCTCAGCTCATCTTGATCACTGTGATCAGGGCTGTTATTTAAAAATAACTTGCCATCAGCTCCACATAAGGACTTCCAGACTTCACCATCTTGAATATGAGTCCTGGTACCTGGTGGGCTCTGATCTTTTCACCACTGATCCACCTCCTTTTCAATACCATCCTGCCAGATAAGACAGAGAAGCGCATTGGAAAGAGGATGCTGGGCACATTGTAGCTTAGGTTTGCATTTAAAAGGGGCAGAAGAGCGAGTTTTGGGACCAGAAGTAGGTGCTGGTGTTGATGAATTGGGCAGGGATGGCATAGCAGTATTTTCATCTGATGGAACAACAGTTTCAGATGATGATGCTATAACTCCTCAAAATAAAAATACACCACAATCTGAATAACATGTGGTGGAGTCGGAGTCTGGAGGAAAGACACGACAACAGCTTGGACATAGTGGATGAATGTGGAACTGGTCACTAAGCTCGAGTCTCATGTAGATGGTTTTGAGAGTTTGTTCGGGTTTATCTTGTACTCTGAAAACACCGAGCCCATAGAATATGACAGCAAGCACTTTTAAAATGAGATTATTAGTGCGATGCGGAAGGTGATAATGGAGGTTCAACCATGGCACTAGAAGTAATATAATCTTCCAGAACCAGTAGGGTGAAGCGTTGTCAAGGACCTTGCAAGCCTGTCAAGATGGACAATCAACTGGTGTGTCGTTTGTGATTGTGGTAGTATCCTCATGTCACATTTCATCACTGCCAGGAACTGCTGCTGCAGGTGCGAGCATGTCTTCGCTGGTATTTGAGGGTGGGAAGCTCTATCAAGGAGACCAAGCAACAATGTAGGCCCTACTAGTGGCTCACTCGTATGTTAAGGGCCACTATCCTCATCCTCTGCATCTGAGAAGTCATCTAAAAGCAGAGGCATATCAGAAAACTGATGACCATCAGGCATCTCCATGTTATTGAGAAACATATCCTCGGTCTCGAGAAGTTGGTCTTGCTGTAAATTATCACCTGTACTTGACTGGATCTCGTCAATGTCCATTTCAGATGCAAAGTCAAAGCTAGCAACAGAGACGTCCATTTCACTGACTGGTGAAGGCATTCTGGATGTGAGCATGTCAAATAAATCTGCATTAGTGTCTGCAAGGCCCATCAGAGGATCAGAAGTTGCCACTGATGTGGGATGATCATGAGGCTGGAAAATTCCAGTAGGTGATGAGAGTGGCAGCAACAGAGGTACTGCAGGTGTCCCGATGAGTAGTTCTTGGTGTTTTTGGGACTGTGTCAGTACTACAACATTGATTGATATATTTTAGAACATATCTTACACATTTTGAAAGAGGGGGACACTTGCCAAGTTGTGGAATGTCTGTTTGCATCGCCATGCTACTACCAGATGGACCTGCGACTATCTTCATCACCTTTGCATGCGCTCATGGAACCGGTGTGTGCGAGGAATGATAGCTAGATGAGAAGGGGTGAAAGGGGAAGAAAGGGTGAAGTGGGATAAAACTCAAATAGACCTCTGGACGTGAGTATATGATTCGGCCCAAGGGGATTGCTACTGAGAACGATTCCTCTATGTAAAAAGTGGAGGGAAATCACTGAAACTAATAAGGGTGGTTGAGAATGGATGGGACGTGAATGCGATGCAAGCGTGAGTGAGCCGCCATTGATGCGGCGCAAAGTGAGGTTGAGTGGCCGAAGATACATTATGTTACAAGTAACATCGGCTACTTGCCCCCTTATCATTTTTCCCTTCATCCTCGTCCTCGCCTACCTCCGGCTCATACTCCTTTACCGACTATCCATTGACCGGATCCTTGGGACCGCTTCCGTCCCTCATCTCCCTCCTATCGCACCAACGTGCACATGTGCCTTCGGGCTATGACTCATTCTGACTCGTGCCACCAATGTGGCTTTCCTTATCTTCCTTTATCTCTTATCTGACTCGTGTGTGCTGCGCATTGTATCTCTTACCGTTGGTTCATTCCAACATTTCTTGGTCTCTTTCCGCATTCGACCTCCCATCACTAATCAGGCTATGCTGCCATCGTACCTATACCCTTTCTGTTTCCCCTTTGCCCTTACCTACTGTATGGTAGCCTTGCCCTTAACCCTTTCCACTTAGTATAAGTAGTCGGTCACCTTTGTACTAGATTCCCTAACTTGAATCTACTCAATCTTCCCTCGAACATACTTCCCTCTGAAGCCCCCTCAACTTCAGTCTCTAGTATCTTTTCTTAGGTGCTCATTGCGCCTAAGTCCACCTCAATCGACTACTCTTTGTTCGGACAAGACAGTCCTTACTTTGAGAATGTCAGTGACTTCGAAGACATCCATCTTAGAAGTCACGTGACACGCACGTCTCTGATATCTGCTGACTCAATGTCGCCAGTCTCAGTTGCTACACCGGACCCTTCCGGTTACATCATGAACGTTAGCAGATGATGCCCCTCTTAGGGCTCTGCCTAACAGATCTATTTGAGTGCATAACACGTTAACGTGCAATAAAGCACGGCCATGTGGAAAAGATATGCAGGTGCCGCGAAGTGTTATGACGAAGCGGCTGAGCGGTGAAGTGACGAGAACGATGGATTCATAAGTAGCGCAAAGCACACTGAAATGAAGAACAGATGGGATAACACGAAAGGCCGATGGATATGCGCGGCAGTTGATACAAAGTTTTTGACTTGAGATTCAGACGGTAATGTGTGCCAGTGGATGATAGATTCTATGGGAGGTAAAAAAAAGAAGATACATGAAATTCGTAAGTACAAGTATATATGAGGATGCGCCAAAGTGCTATTCGGAGCCGAGTAGGTAGTGGCTGTAGGTAATAAGGGTCCATGATGAAAGTAATAGCGATATAAATGAATTAGCGTCGGAAATATGGCCAGTCTATTCCAAAATAAGTGAAATATGCACCAATAGACCAGCGGAGGGCATGGATAGGACAGGATATGGACGCGCAACAGAGCCAAGTAAAAGCCGTTATGGCCCAACGAGCTCACGCCCGTTGTGCCTTCGGCACAAATCGAAGGAGCGCTACGCGCTCCTTCAGGGGAGAAAAATGAGTGTTGTTCCTTCGTCACAGGAAGCCAAGGAGGGCTACGCCCTCCTTTGGCTTCCTGGCCTCAGGCTGCATCCTAATAAATTGTGCATTTTGAATGATTTTGAAATATATTTATGAGCAGCTTTTCAAAAAAACTCAAAGTACAATCTATCACACCACATAAAAGTACATAGTACTACATACAATCAGTCAGTGCTATGTTCTTTGAGCAGGATTTTGACCAATATAAAAATACAAAATATGTAACAGTATCATTGAATGTATTTGTTTTCCCATTTTTCCCTGCTTCCCATCTAGGGATCAGCAGGGGTATGGGAAACCCTTGAGGGTAGGGGTAGGGGTTTGGATCTGAAGACCCCTGTACCCCTGGGAATATACCTCCAAATTGATTACCATAGGAGTGATGGATCAGTATAAAATTTTGAAGTTGTACATGTGCCTTCAAATGGTAATATATGTGATTGGAAAAAATGTTACCATGGGGTATACCCATGCTAATCCCTACTCCCTACTCCCTACTCCCTACTTCCTACTCCTGTCTCCTGTCTCCCGTCTCCCGTCTCCCGTCTCCCATCTCCCGTCTCCCGTCTCCCATCTCCCGTCTCCTGTCTCCCGTCTCCCGTCTCCCGTCTCCCGTCTCCCGTCTCCCGTCTCCCGTCTCCCGTCTCCCGTCTCCCGTCTCCCGTCTCCCGTCTCCCGTCTCCCATCTCCCATCTCCTGTCTCCCGTCTCTGTTCTCTCAGTCTCCCATCTCCTGTCTCCTGTTCTCCCATTTCCCCATTTTCCTGTCATCACATTCTCTGGTTTTTGAGTCTACATTGTCTTTGTCTCCTTTTTTTATTTGAATCTTATCTCCTGTCACCACATTTGTTATCTCCCTGTCTGTAATTGTATCATATGTTGTTCCATTTATGTACATATACAGTCACTACTAATAATTGCAGTAGGCAAAACACTCAAATCCTGTTGTCCCCCTGCTCAAACACATTATTTAATGCCATGTACACATACAGTTACCAATGTTGTTGCGCAACATTCCCAATGGGTGACGTTGTTTGAGTCGCCGCTCGAAATATACATGAAAACCACGCGAGTTTCCAAATCGAGGTTAAGCGAGCTAAGCGCAAACCACATGGCCTTTAGCGAAATAGGCGAAAGCCACGCGAGCGCCCAAGCGTTTCCGAAACTGTCGTACTTTACTTCTTAGATACACACGCATGAGCCGCAGCCATTGGCCGATAGCAGAAAAGATCCGCGCCACATTAGTGTTAGTGCACGCAACGCAAGGACCTATGGGACAACACAAAAATAGCCTTTATGAGGCCACAAGGACTATAAGTCCTACACCGGTTTCGACTTTTTGGCCTTTTCTTCCTTCAGACAGTGCTTGTGTTCATCATACTTCAGTATCTTCTTGCCTTTCGTGCCACATTCACTGACACACTCCCCACATGTACATGCAACAAGGCATCTCTCACTGTCATACTAGGATAAATAGTGAGCTGACAGTCATTCCATGATGTACAGTAAGTAGCTCACCTTATTCTTCTTTGCTTGCTTTCCGGACATTGAGTATAGGCATGAAGTTCAACTGTATGTAGTTGATGGTAGGGCAGAGGGGTGATGGGGACTTGGAAATTTTCCGACTTGCAACTCTAAAGCTTCAAACGGTAACATTGTGTCCATTCACCTGTATGTACATCATGATACCTAAGGTAGACTAAAATAAGCTTATTGCGAATCTGCCGAATGAGCCGAGGCATGTGGATGGTGACTGGATGCAGGTGGACATGTAGGTGTTGAAGCACTGGAGACATATCTGAGGGTAGATTGGTTGACAAAAAGTATATGAAGTTATACCTGACCTTGCTGATGACAATTGTACAGATGGTTCATTGACATGTGTTTTCTCAATATAGCCACATGTAAACATGTGGCGTAGAGACAGGCCTGGAATGCAGTGATTGTTATAGCTTTCAATATGAAAATATTTATTTAATCTCTTGCATTTTTGCAGGCAGGTGAGCAGGCAATGGGCGGGCAGTAATTGGGCAATATATTTAATCTGAAGACAAAACTTCAAGTTTTGTCATCACATTTTGTTGCTGCTGTGAACTTGATATTTTCGGCCAGGTCTAATTGTTTGATACAACTTAACATATCGACCATGGACCAAACTTCAAGTAATTGTCCCAAGTTGAACATCATAATAAAACTTGAAATTCAAGCACATGCTCAAAATCTGACAATATTTCTTATTTTCAGTGATGTATGGTTGGTGCAAAAATAGCTGCCAAAGCTGTATATTTTGGATGTTGAACAAACCACTGACAAAATTTGAAGTTGTGTGCCCATATATATGTTAGTTTAAATTTCAAAAATGTTCTTTGCATTATGGATAACATTAAAACTTATCTCAAATGTTTCTAACCCTGCTGTGCCTGTTATTTCTTAAGGAATGAAAAAACAGAGGCGATACCAGGGTTCGAACCTGGGTTTCGGGAAGATTTGTATGTCAAAATCCCGAGTGATAACCACTACACTATATCGCCTTGGTAATCTGTTGGTTTAGCTGTGTTTGGACGGGTTGGTTGCCCCAGACACGTCGGGTACCGACTGCGGTTAGGATTAAACTTTACACCCTCTCCGTTCTACAATGAATAGCGACGAATCGTTTTCAGCGTTGGTTAATACTGCCAATCCAGCAACGTCCGGATACAGGCAGCGAGACTCCAACAACCCATACATCCATTCAGATTCTACTACTAATAATATTACACCGTCTGGTTATCCTCCACAACCAAATCTTATGGATCCCTTCTTTGACGATGATGACGACGACGCTTCTCATTCTAACTTTACTATGTACTCTGCTCAAAGACCAATGCAGTCCCAGGAGAGCGGTCTTCCTCTCGCTCGATCAGCTGCACCCCCAGCTGGCATAGGGACATCTTCTACCTCTCTTGCAACAACACCTAACGGACAACCACAAGGCTGGGCATTTGACGACGACTCTCTATCCCCCGCGTTCTCACCTGCCCCTTCCTTCCCGGCAGAGCCCTCGATACCCATGCGCCCGCTCAAGCGACGCAGAAAGTGGAAATGGCCCTGGCAGAGGGACAAGGAACTCACTGCCGAGCGTGTAATCACCCTTAATAACGCACTTATGAATGTCGACTATTGCTCAAACTTTGTTTCAACGAGCAAGTACAACATGGTCTCATTTCTTCCCAAGTTTCTTACTGGTCTGTCCCGTCTGGTATCCCGTACACCACGAAACACTCACTGATGCATCATTCTCGTAGAACAATTCTCGAAATACGCCAATTTATTCTTTTTGTTCACAGCATGCATTCAACAGATTCCAGGTGTATCCCCCACGAACCAGTATACTACCATTGCGCCCTTGGCCGTGGTCCTCCTCGCTTCCGCATTCAAAGAAGTTCAGGAAGACCTTGTACGTTATTCCTCCAATCATTGACCCGTTCTTACCTCACCTCAGAAACGACACCAATCTGACTCCGAGCTCAACGCACGACTTGGTAAGGCCCTCTCCGGAAACACTTTCGCCGCACGGAAATGGAAAGACCTACGTGTAGGCGACATCGTGCGTGTGGAGTCAGATCAATTTATGCCGGCCGACCTGGTACTCATATCCTCGAGTGAGCCCGAGGGATTATGTTACATAGAGACTTCTAATCTTGACGGGTGCGTTCCTCCTTATATTTTCCTTCTTTCCCTAACATACGCTCTCCAGCGAGACCAACCTCAAAATCAAACAAGCTTCCCCACAAACCTACTCGCTCACCTCCCCATCCCTCGCAGGCGCTTTGCATGGTACATTGCGGTCAGAACAGCCAAATAACTCATTGTACACATATGAGGGAACATTGGAACTGTTGAGCGATATGAATGTACCGAAGACTGTATCGTTGGGCCCTGATCAGATATTGTTGAGGGGCGCACAGTTGAGGAATACACCGTGGGTATATGGGATCGTAGTGTTCACAGGTCATGAGACGAAGCTCATGCGAAATGCAACGTAAGCGGCTCAACCTTGTTCGAGCTTTAGTCCGCAGAAATTTTATGTGATGTTCTGCAATACTAAACTCGGGTACAGCGCGGCGCCAATCAAACGTACGGCAGTCGAGCGCCAGGTCAACACTCATATCATCTTCCTCTTCGTCTTCCTCCTTGCCCTTTCACTCGGGAGTACGATTGGCGCCAGCATCAACACAGTGTGTTTGTTCTCTCTACTTCACCAGAGATCGGGGCTGACAGACCTTTTGTAGTGGTTCTTGTCCGGCCAGCAATGGTATTTAGCAGAGCCAAGCACATTCACCGGGAAAGGTGAGTACAACTTACCGAGAAGCTTACCCTGATCGCCGACTGATCGCATTTGATCAGCAAAAGCATTCATCGAAGGTCAAGCATATTTATTTTTTCTACCTACTCTCCCTTACTCATTCAATCTCTCCAGACATTCTCACCTTTATCATCCTCTACAATAACCTCATCCCCATTTCACTCATCGTTACCATGGAAGTCGTCAAATTCCAACAGGCCCAGCTCATCAACGCCGATCTGGACATGTACTACGCGCCCTCCGACACGCCTGCGCTCTGCCGCACAAGCTCGCTGGTTGAAGAGCTCGGACAAATCGAATTTGTGTTTAGCGATAAAACGGGAACGCTAACGAGGAACGAGATGGAGTTTAAGAAATGCTCAGTTGCAGGGATTCCGTATGCGGACGTGGCGGAGGAGGGTGGGGAGGAGGGGGAGGGTACAAGAACGTTTGAGGAGTTGCGGGGGCTATTGCATGGGGACGCAGGGAAGCCAGTCGGTACGGAGGCGATTGAGAACAGAGAGCGGGATGTGGCTAGAGAATTCATGGTGTTATTGGCGGTGTGCCATACGGTGATACCGGAGGTGAGAGATGGGAAGATGCATTATCAGGCCAGTAGTCCGGATGAGGCGGCGTTAGTGGCAGGGGCGGAGATGATGGGGTATCAGTTCCATGTAGGTCGCTCATTCCTTGTTAAATACTGTTTTACACATTTCTTCTAACCCCTTCTCTACACCCCTGCATCCCTTTAATCACACTGCTTACTCACCCTTCCGCAGACTCGCAAACCCCGTTCTGTCTTTCTTTCAATCAACAACGCTCCTGCCGAGTACGAGATTCTCAACGTATGCGAGTTCAACTCGACGCGCAAACGTATGTCGACGATTGTGCGCACGCCCAGCGGTTCAATCAAGCTTTTCTGCAAGGGTGCAGACACCGTCATCCTCGAGCGTCTTGCCAAGGCGCAACAGTACACTGAGAAAACGCTTATTCATCTTGAAGTTTGTTGCTTTCCCCTTCAGTATTACCAATGTTCATTGTGCTCACCTAATCAAATCACAGGACTACGCGACTGAAGGCCTACGCACTCTTTGCATCGCATACCGCGACGTCCCAGAGGCCGAATACCGGCAGTGGGCCTCCATATACGAGCAAGCAGCTGCAACGATCAACGGCCGCGCAGATGCCCTCGACAGTGCGGCGGAGTTGATCGAGAAGGATATGTTTTTGCTCGGGGCAACAGCTATCGAGGATAAGCTCCAGGACGGCGTACCAGATACGATACATACGTTACAAATGGCCGGGATCAAGGTGCGTTTGTCACAGACATTTCATCATGATATCTATGTCTACAATGCTGATGTGGTACGTAGATTTGGGTGCTTACGGGTGACAGACAAGAGACAGCGATCAATATCGGCATGTCTTGTCGGTTGATCTCAGAGTCTATGAACTTGGTAGGTTGGGCATGCGGCGAAGATATTCTAGTGCTAATATTCT